GGGTACGTGGAAGTGAAAGAGCGGAAACTCCAAAGAAAAATACACAGAAAGAGAAGGAAATTGTAGGTAATATCAGAGGAGTCCTTATACACCTCCACTGAAGAAAAAGGCATATAAATGTCTGCAGAGAAATTACCTCCTAGTGTAAGATTTGTACGTTTAATCAATCCTGTTTCTATAAAAAGATGCGCCTGAACGTATTATCTGTTTCTTCTCCTACAAGAAATGCTCACAGGACCCCCATTTTATTCAAGTCAAGGAATGTTCCCTTCCCCCCCCCCAAATCCCCAACCAAACCCCAAAAAACAGATTAACAAAAAAACCCGTAAGTTAGCTTCCCGACAGTAGATGACTGTCTAGTGGATGATGAGCGGAACTGAATAAGAATAGAGAGAGAGAAGGAAAGACCTAATGGAAAACTTCAAATACATAGTATTAATACCGGGAATAATTTCTCTTATGTGAATGAATCGGGAATACTCAACTGATAATCTCAGGCACCTTGAGGAAAGGTAGCTGCAGTAACACACAATCTTTGCCTAGAAAGGATGACTGCACTTTCATTACAAGATCACATGAAAGATATTTTTCAGCTTTTTCCCTACTTGAGCTAACCACCTGAAGTTGTTTCTCCAGGGAGAACCATTTCCTCGTGTGCCTCTAAGGGTTTGCCAAAGCCTTTTCCCTGTGTCATCCTTTATCATCTCAGCTGTCTCAAGAATACTGTTAGAAAACACCTGTCTCATCGAAAGCTATTGCTTAAACTGTGACTGTCTAATGTTTTTTTTTAAGCGAATGTAATTGATCCTGGTATTCTAAGGAGTTTTTGATCTGGCAGTTGTATAAGTAGGTGAAATTGCCGTGACATGGGTTTTAAAATTTACAACTGCATCAGTACATCAGTATTGTTTCTTCCAGCTGGTGTGTGTGCGTGAGAGTTGAGCCACACGGTATTTCTGTGCTTTAAACTGTCAGTGCAGACAGTCCAATTACCCCAGAATTACAACTGGGAGTAAAGCGGCTGCTGTTGCTTTGTCTGACTTTTAGATAAGCTGCACGAAGGTGTAGTTAGTAAGTGTGATTCTCAGCACTGCATGCAAAAGTACAAGCTGAATTTCGTTCTCTGTGTTTGGAAACGTTATCCTTAACCCTTTCTGTACATTCTGTCAGTCTTTTCTTCAGCACTCGGACATGTTCCTGTCCTCATGTTTTGCTGTCATTGAGCCTTGTCAGGGACCTGCAAGAAGCTGCAAAATCTTTCCCGGTCCTGAAACGGCAGAGACCTCACAGCTCTTTGATGCTACATTGCTATGCCATGGCTCTGTTCTCATCATGTCCCCCAACTTGTGCTTGCTGCATGACCTCAGGACCGTCATGTGATCCTGACACACGACCTGACTGACGTGGCCTCATGCATTCAACCTCAAGTAAGATGAGAGGTCTGGCATTACTCCATCATAAAAAGATTATGTGTCTCTGCATTTATCTTAATTGTGTCCGTGGGTTCAGTACCTTGTCTCCTTACTGTTGAGAATGTGATAGGAGACAGCTCAGAAATGGAAACAATGAGGATGAGAGGTCAGGACCTAGAAAGGCCAGAAGGAGCAGATGCTCACAGACAAAGGCTCTGCTATCATGGGCCAGTGTTTGAGCTTTTCTTAGCTTTTGGGCAGTGGTTGTACTTAGGCAAGATGGAAAAGGTGCTGACTTTATGCTGTATTGGAAACATTCTGGTTTTTTTTTGCTGGGTTCCTATTACTGAAGAAAATACATTGTTTCAAAAAGGTTGGTCTGAAATGGTGAGCTCTGTAGCCCATGGTGGGCTGGACAGTCATAAGCGCTTTTCAGGGGCTGAATCTGAAGGTGTTGCCTTAAGAGAACAGTGAGATTCCACTGCAGCACAAGTGAAAGGGCAGAGGGCAGAAATGCAAGCAGCTGAATTTGAAAGATGAAGTCTTCAGAGGCATAGCTATTATCTATGTAAAGGTTAAACTATGGGCAAAATTCTGCATTGCAGTTCTTCAGAGTACTCAGACCGTGCTCCCAGTTTTGACAAAGATTCTTCCTGCCAGCTCTAGGCTGCTGTAAGGCTAGCAATGCGCTGATACCATTTAAGGGGTGTTTTATTGCAGTCCACAAAAGTGACTGTAACTAGCGTGGCCGTAGGTAAAGACCAACAGTATTTTGGAGTAGCACAAGTGTCGAAATGGGTGCACGAGTGAAATATTCAGTGGCTTATTCCTATGCCAAAGATGTTGTGTGATTGCAAATTGGGGCTAAGATCACCAGAAGTGGTAGAATCTGGCCCAAAACAGCAGATAGCTGATGTATCACTACTTGACTGCAGAACAGTGTGAAGGTCACCAGCATTTTTGGGTTTTGCACATAAGCATATTTTTAATGCAAATTTTCATTTCAGGTTGCAACAGTTCAATGTTAAACAGTATTAATTCGAGGATGGTAAATGCATGGCTGTCTCCTTTATTAGCTAGAAGAAAACCAGCGGCAAGTAGAGAAATTTAACTGTTAACCAGTAACAGTAGCATATTTGACTTCCTTCACCCTGAAATTGTTCTTTTTGTAATGGTTAACTGCCCTGTTGTAACACACAGCAGGGGGGGTAATTTTCCCATCAGAGGAGGTAAGATAAAAGGAAAGAAAAATTCCTTCCATCACATGTGTTGAAATCCATTTAGAAGAACAATCATTACTGTACACTAAACAATTCCAGGCAGGAAGGTTTAGACCAGTTTTAGTCTTCCAACAATCAGTGGGGAAAAGGGGCTGTTAAAGGGATTCAGATTGAATTTAAGGCATTTTCTCTTCATTTTCTCTCAGGTTTTATGGCTTTTGTACCCAAGGTGTGGCAAAAATCCAGTGAAATCAAAGTCTCTGTATTTCATTATGCAGCTTCCTGGAAAGAACAAAGCAGACGGCATTAGAAAGCACAGCCAGAAGTCATGTTCCCGGCATGCCGAAAGGGTATGCAAGTAGAGAAAATTTATCTGCAGTCAGATTTTGTTTGGACACATCAGAGACTCATGTGTTCTTTGAATAAGCCCGCAAGATGCATGCTTGATTGATTTTTTACAATTTTTAATAATCTGAGGAGATTAAAAAAGAAAAGTCTACTATTCTGACAACACAGTATCCAAAGTTACTTCCCAAACACTGGACAGCCTGAGGATGTTTGGCTGAGAACTAGCGAGGAAAACGCAGCTTCAGGCAGATCATTTGTATATGAAGTGTTCTAAATAGTTGAAGATGAAAATGGTATCAGGATAATTACATGATCTGATATATTTATCTGTGAAATGTAAGGGAGTTTTTTGATGATGGTAGGGGCTGGATCTGGTCCTTAGCATATAAATTAGTATAATTTTTGTAAATGCCTTTACATAATGTTACCTGAATGACAAATGGGTTATATTACATTTTTTGTCTGTTGTTTTTCTGGTTTATTGTGTTCATGTATTTTTGTTAACAATAAATTGTGCCCAAGGATATTATTTTGATTTATCAGGCTACTGTTCATGGTGTATTTCAAATTTGCGCTTGGTTTAGTGGGGCAAGTCACTTCCGACTCTGACTAACTGTAGTTGTATAGAGAGAATTGCAAGTTTGGGCCACCTCAGCAGAAGTGATATTAGCTCTTGTGATAGATCCAAGATTCTCAAGGGAACAAATTATAACGGATTCATTCAGCCAAAGAATGACAGGAGTACTGAAAAGCTTTTAAATATTTCAGGAGTGCAAACAACTAAATAAACTTACCCAGTTACTGGGGGAATGCAGTTTAGTTTTGTGCTGCTAGTAAATTTTGCCCATTCGGATGGTAGCTTGGGGGAAAAGCACTCACTGTCCATAACACTTAAATATCATCTTGAAAATTCAGAGGGCATCATGTTAGTAGGCACATTAGAAAAAAAAAATCAATTGTCCATACATATGTGCAATTAATTTGGGTCCAAGAGCCTAATTTCATAGAATCATAGATTCATAGAATGGTTTGGGTTGGAAGTGACCTTGAAGACCATCCAGTTCCAACCCCCCTGCCATCAGCAGGGACACCTTCCATCAGACCAGGTTGCTCAGAGCTCCATCCAACCTGGCCTGCCAGGGAGGGGACAGCCACAGCTTCTCTGGGCAACCTGGGCCAGAGCCTCACCACCCTCATGGTGAAGAATTTCTTCCTAATATCTCATCTAAATCTGCCCTCTTTTAGTTTAGAGCCATTCCCCCTCATCCTATCACTACACACCCTTGTGAAAAGCCCCTCTCCATCCTTCCCATAGGCCCCTTCAGGTGCTATTTCTACCCTACCGATAATTTTTGTCCCCTGCAAGATCACGGCCCAGCTCTATTTCTGAATTACAGCAAATGTGAACAACAAACGGCAGCAGGCGACCTGAAGCAAAGATCCAGTTTTCACGTGGGATTTTTAATAACTGACAAGAAGAAAAGTATGGAATAAGTAACAGTATGTATGATTTTTCAGCGGTTCGTTTGCTTCATACGTGGACCATCCTGCACAGGCAAGGGGTAATCTTGAGATGTTAATCATGAACCAACAGCAAAATTGGGGACCAGATAATTACATCTCCAGTGGGGAAAACGTATCTCGGAGTCAGGAATGGAGGCCAGGGTAGAGGGCCCGGAGCAGTCACTCAGGCTGCAGAAACTGCCTTTGGCACAGGGCCGTGGCTGGCCGCTG